GATTATTAAACACAGACTATTTCAAATTCAATACAAGTAGATATTGAGCATTTTTGTAAGAAATTTTATCATGGGCAAGTAATATAAATTTTTATGATCTATTTCTTATACTAATAAAAAGAGTTTTTATTTTACAATTTCGATTGCATTACTTTGTAAAACAATAACCATTGAATTAAAAATAAACTCATATATTAATGAATTTCCACTCTATCTAATGGTTTAAATTCTACAATTTGATATAATCTAAATTGCATAATTTTTTTTTTTAATAAAAATATCTTATCTCCTTGATTACCTTGCAGGGACATAATAATTGAGTATTCAAACAAGGTAATGGAATTAGGACAAGTACTGCTCCAACTACTGTCAGAATCTCTTGGTCTTGATCCTAATTACTTGAGAGACATTGGCTGTGCAAAGGGTCTTTGTGTGGCTGGCAACTACTACCCAGCATGCCCTGAACCCGACCTCACATTGGGCATAAGTAGCCATACTGATATTGGCTTCTTTACTGTGCTTTTACAAGATCAACTTGGTGGCTTACAGGTCCTTTATCAAAATCAGTGGATAGATGTTACCCCTATTCATGGAGCTCTCGTCGTAAGTTTGGCTGACTTAATTCAGGCAAGTTTGTTATGTCTGCCTATTACTACTCTTGATTTGGTCTAACTTTTGTAACGCTCATCTATTTTTGTCAAAGGTCAAAACAACTCAAAACAACATCGTTTGTATCATAGGACTCTTGAACGACATCTACCTAATAATGTTGCTTTGTCTAATTCATCTTTAGTTTGTTACGTTTTGCAGTTTATTACCAATGATAGGTTTATAAGCGTTCATCACAGAGTTCTTGCAAAAGCTGTAGGTCCAAGAATTTCAATGGCATGTTTCTTCAGAACACACCTCCCAACGGAAAGTACCACTGTCTATGGACCAATTAAGGAGCTGTTATCAGATGAAAATCCTCCAATTTATCGTGAAGCAACTGTAAAAGACTTCGTGTCACACCACTACTCCAATGGGCTCAACGGTGTCTCCCCACTTGAACATTTCAAACTCTGAATTATATGCATTTGGAAACAATGTTATGTTCTACCTTTAGTTAGGCTAGTAATCTGAAGCGCTATCTTGTTATGTAATTTAAATATGTGAACTTAATGTGAAGGGATATTGATAAGTTTGGAATTTCATAAATATTAATATGAAATTTTTACATGATATAGTTGATATTTGAGAATGTATATCAAATAGGATAGGGTGGATATTGTAATAGGAGATAGATCCGATAGAGTAGTAAAATTCTCCTTCACAGACCTCAAAATCCTCTCTCCCATGCTTGCGACCCCAACCCCCAACCCGTTGCCGGAGGCGCCCAGTCTCCCCAAACCACCCCCTCCGCCTGACATATTAGCAATTTTTCCGGAGGAAAGACAAGCAGCTCGGTCAGCACCGACTCATGGCACCGATGAGGTGCCATCCAGCCAGCCCCACGGCTCCACAGACCCACCAAAGTCGTTCCGGGACAGTCTTCTCGATGGCTTGGCAAATAAAACGCCACCGCTGGTATCATATGAGGAATTAGTAGAAGCAAACCTTGCTGTGGATTCTCCTATGGCTGACGATGGGGCAGATCCACCGCAAGTAAAGGTTCCTAGAGTGAAAATCCCCAAGGCTATTTGGCAGCGCCTATGTGTACCATGGAAGAATGCAGTTATTATAAAGCTTTTGGGGAAATCAATCAATTTTCGCATTCTACATGCTAGATTATTGAAAGAATGGAGAACAGAACAAGAATATGAGGTCATCGATGTTGGTATGGGATATTTCATTGTACGATTTGCCACGCCGGAAGACTGCTCCAGAATCTTAACAGGAGGCCCATATAAATTTTTTGACCACTACTTGGCCATCCAGCCATGGGAACCAAGCTTCCATCCGGCGAGAGAGAAAGCCCCGAAGACTGCAGTTTGGGTTAAGTTGCATGGCGTGCCATCAATGTGTTTTCATGAAGCCATTGTCCTGTACCTCGCCAGTAAATTGGGCAAGCCAATTAAAGTGGATAGCATTACCCTGTTGGGCATGAGGGAGAAATTCGCTAGAGTTTGTGTGGAAGTTGACCTTAGTCAGAAGCTACCATCAACATTCGACTTGGATCTGGAGGAGTTACCCCAAACCATGGTTTTGGTACAGTATGAAGGCTTACATAGGATTTGTTTTCATTATGGAGAATTTGGTCACACAGAAGACTATTGTCATTACAAGCATCCAGGAAAGACAATCTCCACAGGGAATCCAAATGCCCAAGCAATGATCGAACTCACCCAAGCTTTAAAGCCGAATATGGCTGAGAACAACATGGTTTTTGGCCCATGGATGGTGTAGCAACGTAAATCACCAACGGCAAAATCCGATGGTGCATAACTAGGAGCCGACAAGGAACAGGAAGCCTGATCAGCCCACTAAAGTTTCGGCCTCTTTGCAAGCTATCCTGAGAATCATGGTGAAACCAAGGGGAGTGGAGAATGGTAATGGGGCAAAATTCTCACAACAGAATCGCTTTGCAATTATGGAGGATTTGATGGATGAGGAAACCGATCTCATAGGAGCAATTAAAGGGAAGGAGGTGATAGAGGTGGGAAACTTCGGAAATTCAAGTGGAGACTCACTTGCAATGGACATCACCCATTCCCCAATCCTTGAAGCCCAGTTGTCTAGCCCAACCCACCAAGAGGTTAGTAAATCGACTGCTCTCCCCCCAATTCCACCGCCAACCCCAAATAGTTGCTCTGTTAAACCTAAATCAAAGCCGTCTAAAAAGAAGACCAAGACACTAGGCCCAGTTCCTAAAGAAAGCAAAACTAGTGCTCCAAAGCCTTACGACCCACTGATAGTATCTAAGAAGCAATCTGACTCCTCCCTGGTGCCACCATCCACCCTACCACCAACAGGAAGTTCTTCTAATGTTTCCATCGGACAAGCTACACCTACTACGCCATCACCGACACAACAAGCTGCCACTACATTACAGATGTTGCCTTCAATCCAAGTTGCCCCAATGAGTCTCCTTGAGACTCCATCCACTCCAAACTTGTCCCAAGCAGGGAAGCCATCCTTAACATTGAGGCCAGACCAAAATCTAGTGGCTAATCATACATCACAACTAACTAGACAAGTGCTTCCTATGGTTGCAACCCAGGACTCAGTTGCCACACCCTTTGCACCATCTCAATGAAGATCGTGACATGGAATAGTAGGGGGGGTTTAGCATGGCCCTTTTCGAAAAGAGTGTCAAGAATTGATTAAGATGAACCATCAAGACATTATCTGCTTCCTTGAAACTAAGACGGACTCAGCCACTAATGCACTTAAGTTTCTATAAAGATTCGGGTTTAATAAGGATTATCAAGTTCCCTCTCAAGGATGAGCAGGTGGTCTTTGGTTGTTTTGGTGCTCCAATATTGTGAGATCAGAGATCTTACACAGTTCTTCACAATTCATTCATTGTTCTTTAGCTCAACAACAAATGACTTACTTGGTAACTTTTGTCTATATACAACCTCATACGACTATGAAGGACTTATGTTGAGAATAGCTTTGTGATATTTCTCATCAGGTTTTAGCTAATTGGGTGGTAATGGGAGATTTCAATGATATACTCTTGGTTGATGAGGCATCCCCAAAGGCCACAAAGCATTTGGTGAGAGCCCAACATATAGGCTCTCAAGTTGTGGACTACACTCTACATAACCTTTGGGGTGTAAGTACACTTGGCCACGCAAACAAAATGGGAAAGTCCTATTAAGGGAACTGCTAAATAGGGCTCTTTTCAATATGTTGGCACTTGAAGCTTTCCCTAACACCAAAGTGATTAACCTCCCCTGGCTTTGCAGTGACCACCATCCTGTGTTGCTCTACTTAGAAGCATCTTTGTAAAGAGACAAGATCTCCAAACCTATCCGATTTGAGGCTGCATGGTTAACTCATGAAGATTTTAAACTAACTTTCACAAGTGCATGGGCTTCACACAGGTCATCAATAACCGTTGCCATTAAGTCAGTTCAGGAGGCATGCTTGAAATGGAATAAGGAAGTATTTGGTAATTTATTCCATCGAAAAAGACAGTTGCAGGGTAGGTTGGAAGGCATTAAGAATTCTAAGCATTTTCCTACTTCTAGTTTTTTGCAAGACTTGGAAGCAGAGTTACTGAATGAGTATCACTAGGTTTTGCATGCAGAAGAGCTATTTTGGTGCCAAAAATCACGAGTAGAGTGGATGGCTTTTGGTGATAGAAACACGACTTTCTATCATGCATCTACAATAGTTCAAAGAAGTCAAAATCGGATCTCAACTTTGAAGATTGATGGTAACTGGGTAAGGAAGCCTTCTGTGTTAAAATCACACATAAATGGGTTTCTTATATTGTTGTTTTCTCGAAAAAACATTCAACTCGCTAGTAGCGACAGCTTTATTTATCAACCGCGGCTAACAAATGAGGATGGTCAGTCCTGGTTAAGGCCGATATCACTGGAGGAAGTAAAAGGTGCCTTATTCTCTATGAAAGGTTTAAAGAGCCCAAGACCAGATGGAATTCAACCAATTTTCTATCAAAAGCATTGGGAGGAAGTTTCAGGTACCTTATTGTCTTTCATTAATGGTGCACTGAGTGATGGTTATTTTGAGCTTTCATTATTACAGGCACATATTGTCTTAATCCCAAAAGGAGACAACCCTGACATCATTCAAAAATTTCATCCAATTTGTTTGCTTAATGTTGCCTACAAAGTGCTCTCCAAAGTACTTGTGAATAGGCTACGACCCTTTCTCCAGCAACTAATTGGGCCATTTCAGAACATTTTTTTGGCAAGAAAAAGCACTAAAGATAATATTATTTTGAATTAGGATGCTGTGCACTCAATGCATCGAATGAAAGGTAGAAAGGGCGCTATGATTTTTAAAATTGATCTTCATAAAGCTTTCGATAGTGTTGATTGGACGTTCCTCCAAACTGTGCTACAAGATTTCAGTATCCCAGCTCCTTTGATACGACTGATTATGTTCTCAGTGACTTCTTTGCAACTTTCAGTCCTTTGGAATGAGGAAACATGACCACCTTTTAATCCTCAATGAGGCCTAAGGTAAGGGGACCTGTTTTCCCTTTATTTGTTCATCATGTGCATGGAAAAACTATCCCACTGTCATAACTCAAAAAAATTTAAAAAAAAAAAAAGATTTATTTTTATGTTAGTTTTTATCTTAATTAATCTGTTCGATTTTACTTTCATTTTTAGGTTTGCAAGCAAAAGGGAAATTTCACGAAAAAAGTGGGAGAAGAAGAAACAAGGGACTCAATTGAAGAAATCAAA